TGGTTAGTTGTGTAATGGGAGACCTCTGGGAACACCAGGTGCCACATTGGGGCAGCTGCGGCTGTAAAGTGCCAAACAGTCTCCCACATAACCTAAAATGTGTCTTGTGTGTGTGTGTGACTGGTTGGTGGTGGTCGGAGGGGGCGATGGCACATATATTGGTTGCCTCTCTTCTGTCAGTATTTTCTAGGGCAGCTGTGGCTACAGTAGTAGTTTATCACCACTGTGTATTGAATGAATAAATAAAGACACGTGAAGCGTCTTTAAGTGTCCAAACAAGCTCTATATAAAACTGATGCATTATTGTTATTATTCTTCACTCGCTGATCTGTTGGATGCAGTGAAGGAGTGAGTCCACTGGTCTGTTTTCGGCTGCAGTCAGTGAGACATAGATGCATAGTTGTGATAGGACACAGGTAATACTGTGTATTTTGACCCAACGGCAGCATATGGAGATCGCCCTATGGCACAGGTTAACTGATTCCTTGTTCTCTTTGGTTCTAAGTGTGAAAAATATATCTGTACCTTATCAATATCAATTTATGAACATCAAATCTAACTTAAAATATCAACAACAACAAAACAATGACCAAGCATATCAAAATAACATTTCATCTTCAGAATGCATGAATTTGATTGGAATAGTTACTGGTTATGAGTAATGGTGACTTTGATTTTCAGTAGAATGAAATAGAACCACATCCCTCTTATTCCCCTCATCCAACATTTACCCATTTCACCACCAATACAACTTGGCTCTGACTTTTGTTGAGCCAAGTTTTTGTTATCAGACCCGGCTTGAACCATCGAACGCACAATGCACCTCAACACTCGCAATAGGTTACTATTGTCCATCCCCCAAAATCATTATACTCAGATTCTAGAGAGAGAGAAAGAAATTGTGCACAACATGTCTGCCTGGAAAATATGATCACATCCCACTGAGAGCCTGAAAAAGACAGACAGTCCCCGTCTCAGCCTGTGCGGGTGAGTTAAACAGGCACACATAATAGGATATTGCGTTTTAACTACCTTCTATTCATTACAATCATCAGACAAAGCCACAGCCAACATGTCGGCTCCAAAAACTTCATCTGTGTGATTGAATTTATGAGGTCTTTTGGTTAAGAGGTGTATGTCAGGTTAAGCCCCCACCCCCTCCCCCCCCTTCTCTTTATTATTTTTTCTTTCTTTTTTCTCTAGCTTGTCGTGACATATGTCTTCATTTGTGAGAGCTTAGCTTGTGCCAGGTTGGAACTTTTATTGGCAAGACTCTGTTCCCCCCTGGAGGCCCTTAAACCGTTGCACAGGAAATAAAAATGAATTTTCAAGTTTCTTTCTGATGTCGTGAGTGATTTCATTACCTTCAGATGCGGCGCTAATTTGGAGTAAGCTGAAGAATGGGATTTCAACATGCGAACAGGCTACAATAAACCAAGCACAGCTCGACATTAGTACCACACTGTGTTTAGAACTCATTACAAACTGAAGTAGTACGAGAAATACATGCAGTTTTATAGGTGTATTGGCAATGGGTATAATGTTGCCATTTAAAGTCATCTATCTTCGAAAATTCGCACCTCAAAACATGTTTTACATATTTTACATCTTAAAAGGTGTATAGGAGGATTATCTACTTTTACTCCAGGTGGATCATCAAGACTTTTGGTCCTCTCAATTTTCAATCCTTCTGGTGATACACGCTCGTCAAATAAGACCAGAGAGTTTTGTTCAAAAAGTTGGGAGGGCTGTTTTTTCCTAAAACGTGGGAAAATCCTCCTTAGACTGTCGTGAGACAGGTTAGTTTTACCCAACGGGGGCGGATCCCGTCAATAGAAGCAGCGTGAGCGGGAGAGAAGTCTATGGGAGTTAGTGCGCGGACGAAGTGCTCCTCTTATTATTACTCCTCACAATATAGTACCCCTTTTTATCCGCTGAGAAAATCAACATGTTACATTTCTGTGTTACTATACTTTGTAGTGTAACACGTCACGTAACTGTATTTAAATAGGGAAAACGTGGAAGAGTTTGGTAGCTTCTAACGGGAGCTGATTTGGAACTATACAGTCTGTGGAAGAGGCTGCGTTTGTGCTCAGTTTGCATGACAGAGAGCACGGACAAAGACCAGACAGGTACATATCAACCAGTCTAAGGTAAGAACATATGTCAGTTTGTAAAAACGGTGGCCTATTCCTTTAAGCTCAATCATTTTGGTAACTGTAAAGTAGCTTGGAGCTTGGAGTAGAGCTGCTGTTTCGTCACATTCCTGGTTGGAAAATTGGTGACCTAACACAATTTTAATTGGGTGGCACGCTAGCGCAGTGGTTAGCGCTTGTGAGTTCGATTCCACATCCAGACAGAGCCTTTCTGGGTGGATTCTGTGTAGGTTTCCTCCGGGTACTCCGGTTTCCCCTACCACTTGTCTAACTTGTACCATTAGCCACAAGCTATCATAATTTTACATACAAAAAAACCTGTATTCCATTTAATTTCCGATAATAGATTTATTTCTGTTTTTAGTATTTCCACTTCTTGACTTGACCATGAAAAATCCCAATGAAATTAGGCAAAACCCAGTGCTGCGTGCGTTTAATTTTCTGACCTACATCTCTCTCCTAACCTGCAACTTGACAAGGCAATCAGTCGCTGCCCCCCACCCCCCCTCTATAATTAAATGTTAAGTTCATTTTTGCCTGGACAATCACTGGAGAGGGCTGTCAGTGAAGAAGAGACCAGTGTGACGGACACCCTTATTAGCAATAGCGCCTCACCCTGTCACGACTAAGGTGCACAGTCTGGATATGTCAACCGCAATTTCGTATTAAAAAAAGGAGAGAAAAAGAAAAATCTGCATACGCTCACACTATTACTCCAACCCAGACGCCTAAACACACAGCCGTTGCCGTGGCGATGTTGTTGATATGACCACAGAGGGCACGAGGAGGTAAAAGGGACATGCACTCCAGCCTTGTCAGCGCTACACGCATCTCCCTGTAAATCAATGAACGATGATGCTAGCTCTACGTACACCGCGATTCATATGCAAACAGCTTTTCTATGCAAATATGTGCCAGCAGCAGCTTTGAACGCGCCATGTGGAAAGACATAAAGTGTCCCCGAGGTGTGTTTGTGCAACCTTTGCTATCTGACCTATCTTGTTCTGGGATGACATAACAGGATAGTGATGAAGTATGCGGGGTTGAATGATGCACCGTCGTTTCGAATTAAAATGGATTTCATATTTTGTATTATAAGGTTGTATGGAGTAAAAGGTGCACAATGGGGTCGTCTTTTCCAATGTGGTTTTACTGCAAATGGCAAATACATGTACATTTTTGAATCTCGAACCAAAACATTATTGGTAGTCTAAACAAATGCCCTGTCAATTGATTAGTAATTAGGGATTGATTATTTTAGTAATCCTGTTGATTGATCGTTAAAAGTTTTATAAATGATGAATATATTCTTCAACGCTAATTCTTTAGTCGACTAAAGGAGGTGTGGCCTATGCTCTAAATATTATTACAAACCGACCCAAACTTTACTTTAAAACTTGAATGTGAAAGCACTTATTAAGGCACAAGGTAAAATAAATCAAATACATATGTGATTTGAGTGTTTCTTCTTCTCGTCACGTCTCCTTTTTGCAGTGTGCAGGAGAAAAGAAAAAAAACATGACTTGAGAGTTTATATTGGCTTGAAAATCATAAACATTTTGCAGGTTTTACATGGATAATCTTTCTAATTTAAATCAAATGTATACACATTTGTCAACCAACAACTTTGCAAAAAGTGGTCATCTAAGTAACTATGAGCCAATGAAACGTATACTAAAGATTGACAGCCCTAGAACAGAAAAATCACGTTGAAATGTGAACCCATTTCATTTAATTTTCACAGATTGTATGAATTCAATGTATTCAAATACTGTACATTGAATGTGTAAAGCAGTGTAAAGCTTATGATGTGGTTCAACAATGTCTCATCCAGAAATAGTCAACCAGTGTGGAACAAAAAAACCTAGTAATAGTTTGAGCAAGCTTCCTCCCTGTTTGACATTACCTGGGGCGCCAAATAGGAGCTATGGCTCTACTCCGAGCTTCTTTGTAACTGAGGTCCTCATTCTATCTCTGACCAGTGACCAGCCGCCCTGCATAGTGAAGAAAATGACAAAGTCTGGGATCATGTCTTTAATTCAGACAGAAGACATGTATTATTGTTGATGGTAGACAGCACAACCAAAGATGTTACTGAATGCAAGTGATATTATACTGCATGGAGGAATGGAGACCGTCCAATCAGCATTTGCCACGGTGGCAGTAACTTCAACCTTGAGATAAAAACGTGCAGCTACAGTTTAACTACAGTTGCTTCAAAGAGTCATGAAATATCCAAAATTGTCCACCACTGTCCACCACTATACGGTGTGTAAAATCATAATTTACTTGGGTGCGTTCTATGAAGATGCTTGGATCCACAAATTTAAAACTCCCATCTATCTCTAAAACAGTGTTTTTCAATCATTGGGCATGTTTGGTGTGCCTTTGGAAATTACCCAATATCACCTAATTTCAGACTTTCAGGTTTGAATCAGTTTCAGCCGGTGGTGTGCCACGTGATGGTTCTCAATGAAAAAAGCTGTCATGGATACAAAAGGTCGGGGAACACTGCTCTATAAGAAGACATCTGTTTGATTAAGTGTCCTCAATCCCACAAGAAGTCACTACACAGCATTTGCAATACTCCTGCTTCAGTTAGTTCCAGCACCTGTGTTTGTCTCTTGTAACTTTTCCTTCTTACGCTTGGATTATCCTTCAAACTGCCGGGGAAGGTGCCAGGCTGACACAATGCTCCTACAGCTCTTGTGAAAGGCTAAGCAAACATTACACTATTCATAGTATACCTTCATTTATAAAGCGCTCCTTTGTGCTCTCGCTCTGTGTGTAAGATATCTCCCCTCCCCTGGCTTTGATGGGAGGATGTCGGGGTGTGTGTTAGCTTTAATCCTGGTGTGCACCGTGCAGGCCCGCTCTCTGCAGGGCCTCCATTGTGCCGGTCTCTTCATTGTGTCGGAGGGATAAAGCTGCCTCTGTTGTCTCGCCAGCTTCCTGCTTCAAACAGCGGCTGCATGGCTTCTCCCTCTCCTGCTCCCGTGTCTCGCTCTTGTCGCTTAGCTTCTCGACTGGGATTGTTTACCTTTGTCATTTCTGCCTGTCACAGTGATTTGATTCGTAGTTGACTTTATTCTACCAGGACTTTGAAGTGGAGTCGAGGTGTTCAATACAAATGGAAAACTGAAGGTGAAATAGAAGTCTCTGTTACAACTAGCAGAATGCGGGTTGAATGTATTTTCATGCAGTGTTGTATTAGTAGTAAGGCTGACCGAGTTTAATATAGACAACTCAGATATTCAATTCAATCTATAGCTCTAAATCACAACAGTACTTTTCTAGGAGGACTTTACAAACTTGTCGAATCACCAACACAGATCAGGGAATCATAAAGTTCAAACACAGTTGACCAATGTCCGTAAATGCTAATAGATGTCCATAAGTTTCATTGACTCTCGAATGTCCTGAACCAGTTTGAAGCACCTAGGCTTTTGTCCTCTGCATTTGACACATCCGGTATCCATCTCCAGATGTTGATGCTCTGCTTGGTCATGACTACCAGAGCTATTATACATATTTTAAGTGGTCGGGGAAACCGGGGCACCGTGGAAATGTATGTAGACACGGGAAGAACATGTAAACTTCTCTGAGAAATAACCTGTTTCGAGAGCCTTCTTGCCACTGTGCTTCCCTATAGTTTGTTAAACAACTATGAATACACAAGGAAGGAGTTAAGAGTATCAATAGCACAGTCAGGCTAATAACCTTAGCTAAGCACGAGTAGCTAACACGTTTCAGCATCTCAACTCGTGGTAGATAAAACCATTATCCTTAGCTTCCTCATTTGGATTAAAAGTGCAGTGGACTCTCTGACATTCTACCCTTGCTATTTCCCAATTCGCTCCGCTTTGATGGCATTGTTAATATAATTTTCCCTTCACCACAGACCATTGCTCAGGTAATGTTCAATATCCGTAAAAATTGGTGGTCATTCCCCCAATGTTTGAACATGATGTGACTCAGTCTAGTGAAAGGGATGGGATATGGTCCTGCTTATAAACTGCACCAAAATCTGTAACAACAGAAGAGCCTTCCACTGCTTCATTAGCCAATCATTAATCACTCACAACAACTCATTTGTTTCATGCCGTTGAAAAAATGCATAATTCGAACGGAACACCATTTTAGTTCAAACCGTGTTTTGATTTTCACACATTTGTTATGGAAAGTCCTGCTTTTTTTAATAGTTTTCAGCTCATAAGCCAAGTTTTTGGTTGTGTTTTCTACTTGCGCAATATCTCAATGTTTTGTGGGCTACAAGGGGGTCATCAATCTAATGCACAAAATATATATATAACGGCCCTCAGAGACGTTTAAATTATATAAAACCAAAGATTTAAAAAATCCGTACCTTATGTGTTTATTTTGAAAAGCTGAACTGGAAAAAAGCTCTCTTATTCCACGTTCCGGTCACTTGAATTGTGCATTTCTTCATACGACCAGTAGATGGCAATCATTTCTATAGTTTTAGTGCATCAATAACACCGAGGCCAGTGGTTTAAAGTGTTACCGTGATTATCAAGATTTCCATCAATAGGCTTCCTTCTCATCAGGACACACACACTTATACAACTCCTACTGCAGATTTTACGGTTATTCAACAATACCGCCTACAGTGACAATAGGAGCGACCCCCCCCCCCAAGCTGTAAAGCATTACGGTATATGCGCAAGTAGACAGTAGTTCATCTGATTATCTCACAAATCATAAACATCAAACCTTATGACCTGAAATCACCCACAATTGAACTTTGAAAAGACACAGAATGGCCTGTCTACTGCTCCACATCACGTCACCGGCTACTTCTTGAGACTGGAGTGAATGAATAAAAAGGTGAAGGTGTAGAATGACAGAGGCCGCCAACAAAAACCAAGAAGGAGGAAATGAACTGACAGCATGAGTCACTTCATATGATTACTTTTCAATGCACCCGTCATTTCTGCGCCTGCCGCTCAAGCCAATACCAAACCCTAATGGCCAGCCGGGGAACGGCCAAAACAAAGACGCATCTATGGGCAATGATTGGACCTTGGGACAATTAAAGCATTCTCTGGTAAGTCCAAACAAGTGAGACATTTCTTTTGCACCTGGCAACGGACTAAAGCATTTGGTCTCTGCTTCAAATTTCAGGTTAATAAATCATGGCGAGGAGAGGCTTGTTAAATTGAACTTTATATAGCTTCTGTGTAAAGGTCAGCCCAGTTCTTTTTGGAGTTAACTCAAAGATTCGACTTTCCATCTCATAAAGTTGCATATAATAGCACGCATATATCTACGCATCCGTACACCCGTGCAAAAATTTGGTCAAGGTGATACTTTTTAATCATTTCTTCACCTGGATTGGGCAGCCATTTGTACATGCCTGCTCTGGACTACAGTGAGTCAGATGAAATTCCCACAGCAGCTAATGATAGACTTTCCATTCTTTCGGCCTTGTTTGACAGATTTGAATGTCATTAAGCGGCGGCCATGCTGAGACCGTCCAGATGTTGTCGCAGAGTGGTGTGAGGGGATGATGAAAAGTTTGCTTCAGCACCCACTTGTTGGAAACTTTGACGTTTAGAGCTAGTAACAGGTTGTTTTTTTAATGAATCTGAGGCTATTTTATGTTTTTATAGCTTGGCCACTTAAAGGTACACTATTTGGTTTACTTTGGGACTGTGATTAAATGGTCAAAGCAGAAGTAGCAGTGCAGTAGTAAAGTAAAGTGCTTTTTTACGTCAATCACAGGCTGCTTTTATCTTCTCTTCCCTTCATTGATTCTGAATCTGAAAAAAAATGGTATTGTCAATTCTTGAATCAATTCAACCGCACCTATGCTCATCAAGGTATTCTGTGTTACATTTATGCATGTCATTCTATTACATTTAAACAATACATACATTTATGAGAACATCTTTTTTCCCACTGCCATTTGGCCCCTTAATCAATCCCTATATGTTTTCGTGCCCTTTTTGTTTTGCCCAGTGATGTAGCCAGTTATGGTGCAGCGGAAAGACATCCAAAATGGTATTGAGTTTTTTATTACTTAAAATGTTGTATTATGACAACACAATACAATGTAATCCGGCTGATTCCCTTGAGCAAAATTATAACAAACCATTGAGTGAGTTAAGTCTGGCTCATTTCTGGTAGATGATGATGTCTGGTGTATAACTGGTTAGTTGTTGGGTCTGTATTTATTCACAATAATATAGTAGAATTATGTTGTTATAAAACTGTTTCTTAATTAGATATGGTGTTTTTGCATGTGCTCTATATTAGCTTTGACCTTAAAGGGGACATATCATGAAAAATCCACTTTTTGTGTCTTAAATGCCTTATGTTGTGTAGTTGGAGTCTCTAGAAGTGCAAAAAAGTTGAAATCAGTCTCTTCATGGGTTGCAGAGAACACTTCATATTCTGTTTAGGTAAGATTTTTCAACCCGTTCTGATTTTGCCATTCTCTATTACGTGTTTGGAATTATTACGTCACAGTTTTTGCAGCGAGACTGCTATATAAGGGCATGGGCGTCTAACAAAACACTTCGGCCCAGCCCTCCTCTTCTGTGCATCACTTCGAATTTGTAGTCCAAGCTCAAGGATGCCAGCGAACAGGGCTGGACTGGCCATCGGGCGTACCGGGCAATGCCCAAAGGGCGATGCCCATATTTGGGCCGGTCTGTCTGCCTCATACAAAACACATGTTTATGAGAAGTGTAAATCCGTTGAGAATTGTTCGAGCGGGGCGCCCTTATCCGCGGGGCACCTGCTGTATGCACTCGAACGGGATTCCGCCACCTCAGCGGCCGCAGTGTTCCGGGGCATCTGCGGCCGCTTTGTAATGCGGCTGCGAGAGGCTGTGAGCATCCAGCCGCTCGCAGCCGCTCCACCGTGTTGTGGCTGAGCGCGCAGCCTCAACGTGGCCATGTACCCAACCCTATAAACGCGCAGACGACCATGCGTGTCTTTGAGTAATCTGTGCAACCAATAAATACACTGCTGCAGGAAACAGTCCGCGTCTCCCCTCTCCTCTCGAAGCGCGATTAAACACCCTAAATAAAGCTCTGATACCTAAATTTTGCATTGCATTAAAAGTTCATGTTTGAGCCCAAAAGTAATATGTTGTGAACAAATTAAACAGATTTAGAGCCAGCTAATGGCTGACAATATGCATATCAGTCTTTTTTGACCAATTCTCATCACTGTAACAAACAATAGTGTTGTCTGTGTTCACCTCCCTCACTCTGAGACATGTTCATTACCCTCTTGTAATATAGACTATTGCATTTTATTTTATTGTTGAAACTGCACATATCCTGATCCTCTACAGTATTTGCTTCCACATACTGTATAAACCAGGAGTCGGCAACCTGCGGCTCCGGAGGTGCATGCGTCTTTTTCCTTCTGTAGAAGGAAAAACGTTCTTAACGTTTTTAAATGCTGTAAAATTGTGCATAAGTAATATTCAATTTAAAACATTTCTGTCAACGTAGTGCGTCTTATCCTGCGACGTAGGCCCGCGCCAGGCGGCCGCTGTTGTAAACAAACCGGCGTGTGAGCTCTGCTTGTGTACAAGTCTCTCCATGGCCTCACTCCAAAATATATTAGTGACATGTTAGTCCCATACGAACCAGCCCGGACTCTGAGGAGCACAGGGACTGGACTCCTGTTAGTGCCCAGAGTCAGAACTAAACATGGGGAGGCTTTGTAGATTCATGCTGCTAAAATCTGGAACAGTCTTCCTGAAGATGTGAGACAGGCCTCCTCTCTGACAATGTTTAAAACCAGTTCTGTTTAGCTGTGCATACAACTGAGGGATTTTATATTTTTATCTTTCTTTTTAATGTTCTGTGATTATTTATGATTTTAATGCTTTCATATTTTGTTCAGCACTTTGAATTGCCTTGTGTGGGCGGCACGGTGGCTGAGTGGATAGCACTCTCGCCTCTCAGCAAGAAGGTCCTGGGTTCGAATCCCGGCCGGACCAGGGCCTTTCTGAGTGGAGTTTGCATGTTCTCCCCGTGTCTGCGTAGGTTTCCTCCGGGTACTCCGGTTTCCCCTACCACTAAAAATATGTCCAATAGTTCTGGCATGCGCTTCCTGTACTGGCGACCCTGCTCCCATCTCTGTGTGGAGTGAGAGACAAATGCCCAAAATTAACAATTGTAAACCGCTTTGAGACTCAGATCTGCAGTGAAAAGGCGGTATATAAATAATAACTTACTTACTTACTTACTTACCTTGTGTATGAATTGTGCTATATAAATAACTTTCCTTTCCTTGCCTTGACTGTGCGCATGGATCCAAAAGCTAAAAAGAGAAGAGTCGATAATAAGACTGGACTAAGAATGAAAATTAACATTTGCTTTCAGTCAATGAGGAAGGCCTGCTTCATGTTTGCGATGTAATGAGAAGTTTCTATGAGATAATTGTATCTGTGCTTAGTAACTACAAAAATGGCCGCTCGGGGTGGAGTTGAACCTGTGTCACCTGGATGGGGGCGTGGTCAAAAGCGCCCCATTTGCATTTAAAGAGACAGCACCAAAACAGGTTGCTCTCAGACGCACCTCAGAACAGGTGTAAAAGAAAGGCCCGTGGAGCTTCAAATAATGAGACTCAGACCCAGGCATTGCAGTTACGCTTTATATAGGCCACAAATTGATGATTTAGATGTAAAAATCAATTATTTGAAAACACGATATGTCCACTTTAAACTAAAAGTGGGGCCCTGAGAGGCCCATCCCAAAAAAATATTGTCTCTTTGGAGAGATAAGTTGAATAACCATAGGTAACCATATAACTTGAATCCACATTCGGACATATTCCAGTTATTGAATCAATCGCATTTACACCAAGTCCATTTTTAGTCATGAGTTATTGATGCTTAGTCATAAGTTATTGATGCCTTGATAGCTCTGATCTGACTTCAGAGAAAATCGCAGAGTGAGCACAGAGATGTCCACCACTACTTTACCCTCCCACCTTCCTCCTCTTCCTCCTCGTATCTTTTCTTTACTCTACCCCATCCCTTCCTCCTCTCCCAGCGCCCCGTCACATGCACTTTGCACTGATGTCTGACGGATCGGGCCAAGACACTCGACTCAGGGCACTCCTCTATATATCGTTAATTTAATGCATGGTGACGTGGCCAATTACAGCAGGCCTGCACGCTCAAATAGCATGTCAAAACCTGTGTATCAATCTATTAGGTCTCGTCTCCTCGCACCTTACAGCCCATCCCGGTCGCGGGGGGAAAGTGCTGACCTCACGGAAATGGCCCTATAATCCTCTCCGCAGCCTTTTAAAGTGTATCAAAAACATAACCGTGCTTAAGCTGCCTTAGAAGTGAGATCAGAGGGATCACCGCGTGCTGCATATACATAAGACGTGTCTGTAGCGTAGCTGATCAAGGGGCACTTAGGGTTGGAGTATCTGGAGAGTGTCTCGTTTTAAATCTTCGGACGGCTTGTACGACTAGAGTCAGGTTACTGTTTGCATGTTTCACTGTTCTAACAGCCTTTTAGTAGTAAGGAATCTGTGTTTGTATTGCACATTTTTACAGACCAAGGTCACCCAAAGCGCTCTACAATTTTCAGAGTTCAGATATTGTTTCATTCACTCCACGTACAGTGATGACGGAAGAGAGACGCCGAACAAACTAGAGCATCAAAGCCTCTGACCAAACACCATCCATTCACTCACTTATTACTTTCATATCTATTGTTTTTAGTGGTGAGGTAACAGGAGCACCCAGAAGAAACCTACGCAGACACGGGGAGAACTTGCCATCTCTACTCAGAAAGGCCCTGTTTTCCGACTGGAATTTTAACTCAAGTGCAAACCACTTTGACCAATCAATCGCTGCTGATCAGAGGAGTTAGAGCGGGAACCAAACAAGCAGAGTTTGTTGCATTAAAGTGTGGATTTATCGAAAAACAAAAGATTTAAGGATGACAAAGGACACTAAAATCCCCACAACGCAACCTTTATGTAAGCTGTAGGTTCTGTCAGCTGAGGTCGAGTTGTTTTTGTTTACATTGAGTTCTATGGGACATTATTCTGGATGTGAATTTAGCCTGCAGACCCCATCATACATTTCCAAAATTACATACACTTTTGAGAGTTTATACCTATAAAATGTTTTGATTCTCCCATGTCTAATACCTGCACAGAGTTTACTTTCAGTTTACTTCTACTGGACAATCCCACTGAAGTCATCACCCATGGATTTTTTTCAATTACATGTTTTGATTACTGCAGTTGGTGTCATAGATATACAATATATTTCCTTCCTTCAAAGATCTCCAACATTTTCAATTTTTAGACTAACCTTCTACTGCTCTGCAAAAACGGATGAAAAATAAGTCAAAAATTGATCAAATTGTGAAAAATGTATCTCCATTTGAACACATTCTGACTTAAAATATGGGACAAGCAGAATTATCTTGTTTTAAAAAGATACCATAAATATCTCCTTTGGAATGAGAAAAGAAAGCAACAGTTCTAAGACCCATTGGCAAGTCTTGAACGTACTCAGAGTAAGATAGAAAACACTGAATGCAAGCAATAATTGGCTCATATTTGATCATTTTTTGCAGTGTGAGAAGGGCCATCGAGCAAAAGCAAAGTTAAAGTAGGTTGGTCAACAGTCCTGGGAAGACCAGTTGGCTCAGCTGTGTTAGCAATCACAAACCTTTGTCTTTATCTGGCTCTTCCTGCCCTCCCTCTTCACCCGTGGGAGTGCGCAGCTGACAGGAGGGCTGTGAAGTTTGACTGGCTCAGCTCGAGCTTTGATGCTGTCGCTTCCCATCCTCTCACCGAGTTCAAGGCCATCAAGATCTTGCAAATGAGCCGACACTGGTGCAGAGTACAGTTCTGGGAGTGCAAGGCCAGGGGCATCTTGTTCATCCTAATGCCCATAGCAACAGACTAAGACTTGACGAAGCACACAGGGGTCCTTCACAGGGGTCCACAATTTGCAATAATCAAGTGTTGAACTTATTTTATTACATTTGATATGGTTGGATTATGGTTTGGTAGAAAAGTGAGGAAAAGCAAATCCATCTTCATTGTTTTGAGAACAATTTAGGGGCGACAGTGGCTCAGTTGGTAGAGCATTGGTCTTTGAGCCTGAGGATCGTGGGTTGGCGCCCACCACGAGACCTACTTCATGGCTGCTGTTGTTGTGTCCTTGGGCCACCCTACTTTGCCTGAAGCCCCCGCTTATTAAGGCTCCTGTGGACTCACCACCTGCAGGAGGATCAGTGAGGGGCTGGTGCTCTGTGTACTGGGTGCAGCTCTGACTGCAACCCCCCCGACCCAGACATGGATAAACGGGGAGAGATTGGATAGATGGATGTTTTGAGAAGTTTCTGTTTATTTTGCCAGAAAAGTGCCAGAACTGAAAAACATACAAATTTAGTTAAATGTAATACTGCATCACTGTGCTTGGCCCTAGGTCGGCTTTTGACACGAAGCTGAAAAAAAAATAGTTATAACATAAAACTACATTTCTAAATATACATAAATACAAGACAATGAAAAATAATAGAGTGTGTGTGTTTGTGTGTGTGTGTTCTTGTATTACATCAAATTCCATTAGTGCTGCAGAACAGAGCACAGTTCTGTCTAAAATGACTAATGCACACACTTTACTGACAGCTAGAAGACGATAATGTGAAGGAGATTTTGGGACAAATTTGCAACATGAACCTGATGATAGCAGAAATGTACAGCCCTAATAGCGATTCATTTCTTTAACTAAGTGTGTGGCTTCAGACTACCCAGTGTGTCTTTGCGTGTTGTGCTCTTGACAGTGACAGGCGCTGATCTCTGGAATGACAGTGCTAATCTCCACAGTCTCTGGCCTAGTCTGCTCCTCTTGGCTCTCTGATCAGCTCGTATTAAAGCTAAACACTTTGACTGATTTGGAGGAAAAATCAAAATCAATTTGCACCAGGGCCGTCTATTTGGGAGCCGTCCCCTCAGGCCCTTGGAAGCTTGTCACAACCTCTCACCGCGGAATTGACGTTTTGACACGCAGAGTTAGATTAAGAAAACGTGACAGGACGAGAGAGAGAGAGAGAGCGAAGTTAAGTTTTCATTCTGGACAAGTTCCATTATTTACCGCAAGATCAAGGTAGCCCAGACATGTCAACAGAAAACAAGTTTAATCATGAAATGCCAGTCACCCAAACCAACCCGGTAGTGCTTTTCCGCTATGTGTGAATGTAGCATTTTGTGGTCCCACAATACCCAACAATAACATCTCTGACTTGAAGGACAACAGCACAAAATATGATTGATCGACAGGTTGGTCACAGACGACATGGCGGATTTTCGTTTTGGCCCAAATCCATTATCTACCTCGAGATCAAGGTAGTCCAAGGTATGTCGACAAAAAACAGGCCCAATCACAAAATGCCAGTCACCCAAACCACACATTCTTTTAGCTGTAAGTATGCAACAGTCGACTTACCAAAGGTCCCTTGATACTAGAACAAACATGGACTTGATGAAGATTTGATTTCGGTGATGGACGCAATGACGAAGACAAGCTGGTGGACATGTTGGATTGACGGGGTTGATTGAAAGGCAGGCCACAAAGGAGGGACAGGCTGACGGACAGATGGGGAGTGACAGGCTTAAGCTGGTGTGTGTGACACTGAATGCACGAGGACATAAGGCAATGGCAAAGCGACATTTGGAGGAGTTGATAGACATGGGGTTGTCACAGCCAGTCAAAAGTACTGACTGATTATCAGAGAGTTTTGCTTGGTTTAACACGGTGGGGCATTTGCATATGAGACAAAAGAGGAAAAAGGATGAATTTAAGTTACTTATGGGGAAAACTTGAGCTGTTTTTCAAACTAGGGAAATTCAAGAATGATTTATTGAATGCAGGTGTAATGGAGGAATAAATTACTGTTTAATGATATTCTAATTTTCAGCTGTAGATTTTCCTTTTTGGATGGTAGGAAGATATCTGTTTATTCCTGGTTCCATTAACAGATTCCAGTTTCCTCATACATATAACATTCTGAGGACTTTATCCAATTAATATCATGTTTAGTTGTTTTATCCCTTGTGGGTGGGACGGTGGCTGAGTTGATAGCACTCTCACTTCTCAGCAAGAAGGTCCTGGGTAAGAATCCCGGTCCTAACAGGGCCTTTCCGAGTGGAGTTTGCATTTTCTTCCTGTGTCTGCGTAGGTTTCCACCGTGTCACCCATAAACATAATCACAATGAAATAAGGTACATTTAGACACAGGAAAAGAAACAAAGTAATGAACACCAAAAATTACATAAACAAAGTCATTTCACTTTCAAAATAAAAAGCCGTCAAATCGACTGCTCTGGGAACTCTAGCATTCAAAGCACAAATAGATGACAAGGATCCCAATCAGAAAAAAAAGTTACACCGCTCATCTTTAACTTTCCCCCTGCTTTGGTGCTGAACGGGCAGCGTATATAAAAGTGACAAACAAGTGACAGCATTTGAAATAAACAAGAGGCGGGGTGTGGAGGCAGAGGATCACAACACGTGGAGATAAGTGGTGCTATCAAACCCACACAGAGGTTGTTGTCCATTTGCAGTGGCAGACGCAGTGATAGCTCCGCTCCCACTGCAGAGACAGCCTGTTTGTGGGTCCTGACAGTCTGGGGTGGGCTCAGTGCATCACAGCGGCTCCACCACTCTGAACTCTGCCAAACAAGCGTCAATCTGAATCCATCTTAAGGGGATTTACAACTTCTAGCAAACAGAAAGGGCAGAGAAGGAAAGGGTGAGGATGTCAAGATGTTTCTTTTTTCTTAAATTCCCGTTCCCAAAAGTGTAATATTGTCATTTTGAGAACTTGATTGAACATTTTTTTTTGTGTTCTTTGTCAGAGAAGAATGTAGGCAGCATTGTTTGAGAGAGAATTAACTATTTAATTCCAATATTTAAATATGTTTGCGTCAAAAATGTGTCGAAATTGTATCATTTTGAATTGTTTCACTAATATGTCATAGTTGTATTAGTATTAGCCTGGTCATATCATACCATCATTATCATTTCATGTCGTACTTAGGGCTGGATTTTCACCATTGAGCTCCGTTTACAGATAGAAAGGGTCAACTCATTTTGCAGATTGAAACGATTGGATCTGAGTGAACCCAATCAACAGTGATTGTGTGGTGACGTATGAAATGCGCCCTAGTGAATTAGGCATGTAGCCTAGCTTTAGCCAACTTCTTTGCCACTAACGGAGCCTGTGGGGAGTAGAGCCACAACATCTTTGCCAGCAATTAAACTTGCTAAACATTCCTCTTGCTCCGGCTTCGATTTCTTGATATTTGGAGCCGAACCAGAACAGATTACTTCACATTCGCATTCGCCGCCATCGCCAAACTTCAACCAGCAAATTTGGCGCAAACTCTTGATGTCAGCGCCTGCCCCGCTCGCTGAATGATCGGAGGAGATTCAGACGCACATGTAGAAACATTTCAATCAATACGCAAAAGAAAAAAATATAAACAAGAAACAAGAAAGAAAATATTTTGAAAAAGAAGCTGTACAGAGCAGATGCATATTTGGCTCCATCCCCTCTCACTCATTCAACACATCTCAACACAATCACACACACACGTTACACAATAACACAATACACCACACACACTTCACACAAGCACAACACACAGCAAGACACAGGCCCAAACACTCTCTGACCACCAATCTACGTATTACCCTGCCCGTTATAACTTTGCACTATACGTATATACATACAGTATATAGATGTACAGTATATCGATGTATTGATATTGACACATTCACAGCTAGCCAAGAAACATAACAACTACATATATTGTTTATTTTGTGCGCTCCCTGTGTGCTCTTTCTGCTGTCCTGTATGTGCGCTGCAACATTGAAATTTCCTCTCTGTAGTAGTAGTAAGTAGTAAGTAATCTTTATTTATATACCGCCTTTTCACTGCAGATCTGAGTCTCAAAGCGGTTTACAATTGTTATTTTTTGGGCACTTGTCTTCTCACTCCACACAGAGATGGGAGCAGGGTCGCCGAACAGGAGGCGCATGCCAGAACTATTGTACATATTTTTAGCGGTAGGGGAAACCGGAGCACCCGGAGGAAACCTACACAGACACGGGGAGAACATGCAAACTCCACTCAGAAAGGCCCTGGTCCGACCAGGATTCGAACCCAGGACCTTCTTGCTGAGAGGCGAGAGTGCTATCCACTCAGCCACCGTGCCACTCTGTCGGACAAATAAAGGATGTCTTATACTGCTTATTATTGCTGCACTTGTGTGGCGTGAATTAGACTGAAGTTTTTCCGTCCATGTTATGATTTTTTGCCTTGTGTGACTGTTTCTATCTTCTCTTGTTGATCACTTTGGAGTTGCCTTGCGTATGAATTGTGCCATACAAATAAACTTGCCTCGCCTTGTTGTTGTTTTGTGATGTGTTGCACTAATGACTGAAGCCGCGGCGGTGACTTGCCTGTAAAACAAGCTGTTATGTGTTTGTGCGTAAACACATGGATCAACATCACTTAATTTTTCAGGCATCATCAGCTCTTGATAACTGCAGGCTTTCAGACCACCCCCTTTTAATTAACTTGATGATATTGTCAAGTTTTTTTTTTAGTTTTTTTTTTTCCGGCTCGCTGACATAACTGGAGCTGCTCTTTTAATTAGAATTAATTACGCTCTAAGTGGAGGTCTTTCAATGAACATTAATATACAATTGTTAACTAATTAATCATCCCATTGCTATGTATTGAATTGCTGACCGACTAATTGTTGACTAGGAATAGTGGCAATATTAGTGCAATACTAATATCAGAATCAGAATTATTTTTATTTCCAGGAAGTCACAAAACAAGGCTTAAATCCAGATTAAAAACAGTAATTTTAGCCGT